ACTAGAAGCTCCCAAACTAAGACAAAGTCTTCTCTCCTTACAGGTTAATTGGCTTAGGTATTTTGTTATAGTAATGTGAAGCTGAGTAATATACCAGTGTATCTCCAACATTTGGTGCCCTTCTTTACTTTGTCCTCAGTGCATGTCTTTGCTAATCAAAAATGGTTGTGAGCACACCTTCTATTCAAAATTGACTGTGTCAAGGTAATTTAATAAACTATAAAAAACGTGCTGAGGAGCTGGCTGGAAAAAAAATAAAGCCTGGTTACTTAGCATTATGTGCTCACCTGAATTGGCCCTATTACCCTGATCCTAGATAAATATTAGTACATGGAATGAGATTTTATTGTGGTGTCTACTTGCAACTTATAGTAACAATAATCACTGTAAATAGTGTGCTTTTGTGTAAGAAATTAGAAAAATATCACTTGCATTCAAGTGCATTTATCTACTGGTTTGGAAAACTTGATATCTGGGAATTTTGAAGACTTGGGATAACATTTCCTTTGTTCCCATTTCTCCTTTATTTGCCCGATCCTATTAATATTTAAACAATGTGTATTTGAAAGCATTTTAGAAAACTTCCTTTTTTTAGTTTTTAAAAATGTCCATCCCTATCTTCAATTTTGTTGAAGATCTTATCAACTTGAAGATAAAGAAATAGGCAACTTGAAAGACATCCCAAAGTTCATTATGTTAAGAAGTTCATATGTGGGGTCATTACTCTAATCCAAACTCACCATATATTATAAATGGAGACCAAAATATGAAGATACTGCTAAATCTAAGTGTGAACCAGCCATGTGGTAGAAAGAGCAAACACATTTCTTTCTTTCTGTACAAGTTATCTTACCTTTCCCAACAACCCACCAAACCTCATTTAACAGTACATAATGGTTAGTCAAGTAGGCTTTGCAAAGGATTTGCAGAATCAAAACAACTGAAGTGCACAATGTATATTACTCCTAAGCCAGCAGAATGATGTTGCTTTAAAAATGATTTAGGGAGTTGGGGGAAAAAAGAAACAAGAAAAAGACAGTGATTCTCATAAAACCATTTTTCCCCCCTGCTGTTTTGGACTCTGGGAAAACAAAGTGATAAAAGTGCTTATTTTTCATCCTTCAAAATAAAGATTCAAATACATTTAATTTTACTGAGCATTCTCTTGATCACCTATTTTGAAAAAAATACATGCTTATAAAGAAAAAGTGTCCTCCCTATTCTCTGCCTCTTTAGACTTTGACCCCAAAAGAAAAGGGTTCTTTTTTAGGTCAAAAGCTGGTTTAGGGGCAACAGAATTAGGACTTGGTCAGCTTTGTTCCCCTATATTCAATGGGAAATGATAATGCCTTTCTTACACCTAATTTGTTCTTTCCAAACATTTTATTTTCCTGCCTCTTTTTCAACAAGGTTGAAGTACTTGCAACCAAAATTAGAACCTCCCCTTTCTTACAAATAGTACAACTAGGAAGTTGGATTTAAAGTGTTGTTTGTCCTTGTGCTCTTGGAAGAACTCCCGGTCTTTAAATCGACAGTGCAGCTGTTGATTGAAAACTATTCAGAAAGATGTAATCTGAAACTTGTCAGACAAATCGATTGTAAAGTTTTAAAAATATTTATATCTAAGAAAAGACAATGCCTATTTACATCCATAAGAAACCAATAAAAGTAATTTGGATGTATAATCAAAAGCTCAACCTCATTTCAACCCAGTACTAAATGGCAGAAGTACCCTATGATGACCAAATGCTTGGGCAATGTAGGGTGACCGCCATCAATGAGCCAAGACACCATCACATGCTTGGTCGGAGGCTGACTTCTCAGAGCAAGCCAGCTTTTCTGGGCAGAGATGGGCACAGGATGCTGGTGACTTCTATCAACACCCAGATGATATGCGAGAAAGGGTGTAGTCTGCTGTYATACCTTTCAGAAATAAACTAAATCTGTGGCTTATTCTTAAGAAAAATATAAAACAAGGATGCAACAATATTATGGTGCAGGGAAAGGAGTAAACTAGTAGTCAAATGTGGCTTCTGAGAATCCTTGAACTGATAAGCCTTGTCACAACCACTCTGAATATGGTACCCTTTTCTGTGAAATTGAGAGTGTGGTCTTGATAATGCCTACATGCCTATTTCTTCCAAAATAGCTTGACGGTCTCCAAATGTCTTTCAATTGTGAAATAAATGTTTTAAAGGATGTCAGAGTGGATGGGACCTTCTTACTCCCCTGTTGTACCTTAGTGTCTATTTAGTTCTTTATGGCAGTTATTTAAATATGTTGATATTGATGCTTTTAAAAATCTTTAGAAGTAGGCCTTGATGAAAATAGCAATAACTAAACTAAATTCTAGGTCATGATATGCCAACCAATTCAAGGCCTAAAACAGTGTTTTGGTCATGTTCCATAATGCAATTAGATAATGTTGAAAATAAATTCTCTCCTAAACAGAAAATTAAGAAAAAAAACAAATCTTACTGAAGTAAGAGTATAAGGAATTCAGGAGCCACTTCAAATATACTAGAAATTTCCTAAAAGACAAATAGCTGACTAAATTGAAAATTGCTTATAAATTACTATTTTACTCAAATTGTGTAGCATTCATAACTTCATTTGTCTTGATGATGGTGCAGAGGACCAGTTTAGATTTACACTGAACTTATGTAAAATTAAATACAGCATCAACAATACAATCATCAATGTGCATTTCTTTTTAATGCTACGGCAGAAGCATCTGGAAAGACAAATATTTGCATAGGATCCTGAAGGTAATAGAGGATAGTATATATCACATACAGAAGAGGGTCTTAATCATTAGCTGCAAAGCCTGTTCCCCATCATACTCATAACAAACAGTTTATCACATCTTCTTCTTTTCCTAATAATTTCCATAAAAACAAGAGTTAAAATAAAATCCACAAATAAATGACCGAAAGATTATGAGAGAATGCTGTATTTAAAAGGCAAGATGGGAGAGTGTCAATTAAAAAAAAAGTGCAAGGTAAAATTCATCAACTTTTCCACAAAGGATTTTCTGTTGCACTATAAATAGGCCTTATCACTGTACTTGTCCTTGAGGCGCTCCATTCCTAAAGCAGTCATTTCAGAATCTGTTGATTAGATAAATATGATGTGACAGGACAATTCTGAGGCACTTTTCTCTTTAAAAATTCTTTTGTTTAATACATTCTTAAGGGCTCACATTCGTACATCAGAAACAACTTTATTTTTTAATTATTTTTTTTTTAGTTATACATGGACACAATATCTTTGTTTTAATGTGATGCTGAGGATCGAACCCAGTGCCTCACATGTTCAAGGCAAGGGTTCTGCCATTGAGCCACAACCCCAACCCCAGAAAACTTTAATAGAATATACTATTCTCGGGGCTGGAGATGTGGCTCAAGCGGTAGCGCGCTCGCCTGGCATGCATGCGGCCYGGGTTCGATCCTCAGCACCACATACAAACAAAGATGTTATGTCCGCTGAATACTAAAAAATAAATATTAAAAAAAAAAGAATATACTATTCTTGAAATATTTGTTAACTTTGGCTGAAGCTCTTGAAAGGCATTCTGTAGCAACCTACACTCTGGATTCCATAACTCAGTTTAATCTTCAGACACCCACTTATGCCAGAGTCAGTGGAACAGAAAAATTCTATTTATCAAAAACTGAATTTCCTGTTTAAAAAGAACACCATCTTTCATACTGTTTACTGAAAACTATTTATGGCTCACATGAACTGCTGTATTTGGCGTTTACTGAAACTACCAGTAAACTTCAATATCATTCTAATTTAGAAAACTTTTAACATTTTTGGTATGCGGAAGAGTTCCAAACAGTGTGACCTTGTGATGCGAATGCCCTGTGTTCCACAGCACTCACTGGCTTCCAGGGGAACTGCTGAGCAGCTGTCATGTTTCCCAACAGAACAGGGTGTAACAGTTTCTTGCTCACCATGTTTATTTAATAGCACACTCCAACTCTCAGGCATGAAGTCTGCTAAAAACTTCAACCACCATCATTTGTTGCTGAATATGCTTTGGTCTTCTCCACAGTTTAAGGATTTTGTTACCTATTTTAGTCTTTTAATCAACAAATAAAAACACACCATTTTATGCTATTTGGGCCAAATTAATTTTATTATGCTCCATGATGAATTGCCACCAGTGCAACATCCTATTCACTATACAATTCAAAAAAAAAAAAATCACATACTAAACAAAATTTCAGTTGATAAATGGAAATGAATGATTGAAAATTTTTATGAATCTCATACATACAATATGTGGCTAGCTGAAATTGTCTATCACATAGCATTTAGATATAAAAAGCCTCATGCTAGTTTGTTAAATGCGAAGGCTACCAGACAATCATTTCGCTGGAGTATACATGGGAGGCTTTCAGACAATGCACAGGTATAGTGCTGCCCACAGTGCAGAACGGTGGAGGACTGAAACATGCAAACTTTATCTTACTCAGTAAAGAAGATGTAGTTTTCATAACTGGACTGAACTCCACAGCTGTTGTGTTTCAACCAATAGAAACTTAAATCACAACAAAAAGGTCTTTTTCTCCTTAAGAAAAAAGAACAAACTCAATTGCCTTTGGCAAATTATATACCCATCTTTTATGTGTGTTTCCAACTCTGAGAATTGATATCCTCTGCTCAGAGAAGCTCCTGATAAATACTTATCATACCAAAGTTAGATAGAAAATCCTGAATTCCTTGGCCAAAAGTTAAGAAACACCTTAAATTGGCATTACCTTACATTTCTAGGCCACTTAAAACATTTTTTTATAATGTCATAAAAAAGACATGTTTAATGAAATTTATTTTTCCAGAACTGGAGGATTGAATTCAGCAGTGCTTTAACACTGAGCTACATCCCAGACCTTTCTATTTTGAGACAGGGTCTTGCTAAATTGCTGGTCTCAAACTTGTAATCCTCCTGCCTCAACTTTCCAAGTCATTGGGATTACAGGTATGAGCCTCTGCACCAGACTTAATGTTATTTATTTAAAATAATTATAATGTCCTAGTTAATATCTGCACAAAATTTTGATTTTATTGGTTAGTAGCTGTCCAACCTTATCCACGCCAGGTTCACTGAGCTAAAGCCACAATAAAAATAATAGTAAGCAGAAAAGGTTTCTAGCAGCAAAGGGCGCTGTTTTTACAAGAAACAAAAATCTAGAATCTTTCCCATGTACTTAAATTACTCTTGCAAGGAAGGTAACATTCTTTGAATAACTTAACTATTTTACTGCACCACTTACTGCTTTCATCAACTAAACCTCTTAAATTATTTTTATGATAACTAGATGCATGATCATTAGAGATTATGTGATAAACTGGTTAAAATTCAAGCCACATCTTGCAGGTCCAGCCTGTCAAGATCATGCCAATACTAGATTTTGGTCGAAACAATTCTAGATAGAATGATTTTTAGTTGGGTATCATGACTATAGTAATGAAATACATTTGGAACTACATTCTGCATATGACTCAATGTGAGAAAAATATGTCTGTATTTAAATCAGATAATTTTCTACCTAAAATTCAAAGTAGGTAGATATGATAATTAGCACTATAAATATGAATGACCATCTTTAGGTGAATTAGTGTATTGTAAAGAGGGAAGGACACCCTAATTTTAACACACCATTTAGTATGCATAAACAAATGTGCAGGTTGTAAGGTTTTATTTTTTTTAAAAAAACTATTAAATCAGAATCAGTTATGTGTTTCAAGAAAATTGACATTTGGACCATCAATCTTTTAAGAAAAATGTAACCCTTCACTTGACATTTGACAAAAACCTTGGGAAATTATCAAAAGAAAAATATACAGTATGTTAGGTTCAGCATTACAGTACATACCTTTGCTAATTAATTTGATATTTATGGTTGGTATTTTTGAAGACCTCAATCTATACAAACTGAAAAACAGAATGACCATTATGGTTCATGAAGAATAAAACTACCCCAAAGCCTCTAAACTCCAACTTAAATAATTTTTCAGAATAATATCAAAAATATTTTTTAAGAGTTTTGCCAAAAAGCCTGTCACATTTGTTACAGCATAAACGTAACCGCAATCAAGTACAGGTATGGAAGGAAGGATTCCCTGTGGTTCCAGCCTGCAAACACCACTACTGTGTCAGTAACAGCAATGCTGCTGTAAGAGACATAACTGATTTCCCCTACTGGGATCTTTGTAGAGATGTCATACAGAGCATATTGCTAAAATTTGAAAAATGGCATCAGTGTAGTGATGTCTAGAGAACTGTGCAAGGTATCAACTTCAACATTCATATGTAGCATTGTATTCAAAATGAAGGGGCTAAAGAAACTAAGGTTTACATCACTTAAAAAAGAATGTAGTGCTATAATAGATTTTAATAAGAAAATTTAGGTACAGAAAAAGTAGGGTATGAAAATAGTGTTTTCCTTCTGGCATTATAACTAAATTACATTAAGGTTTTTGTCAGTCTCACATACAGTATTTAAACTCCCTTGTTGATGGAATGAAATATATTCACAAATCAAGTGAGCATCCTGGTGTAAACTTGTACACAGTAACAGGGAGTAGCTTTGTAGAGGATTATGACAAACCTTTACAGATTAAATGAGGTATTGCACAGATTAATTAAAAAAAAAAGCAAAAAAGGCAACAAAAATATACAGCAAATTGGTAGAACATTTACATGATAATTTTACAGAATCCATAGACAGAAAGTAGTGTTTAGTATTTCACCTTAAAAATATATATATATATAATATATAGATCAGTCTTCCCATTCATCATCATCCTCAAAATCTTCTTCATCATCTTCATCTTCATCTTCATCTAGAAGAAAATCATCAAGACAATGAAAATATAAATGTTACATAATTCTTGGGTGAGTTCTCCAAATACTTAACCTCTGAAAACATAATCCATTTAATTCTTGGAGAAATCTAGTTAATAAGATAGTTTAAAATTTAATGAAATACATCCAAAGAGTGTGATAGTTAAACCAAAGATTAGAACAGAAGTTCCAAGATTTGGGTTCTACCTTGGTATCTATGAAACAAATTTCAACCTGTGATTTTTCCCTCTCTCCCTGTAGTAGGGATAGAACTGAGGACCTCACTCATGTGAAGCAAGAGAGCCTCACCACTCAGTACTCCCCATCCCAGCCTATCCAGTGTGCTTAATATTAATGTGTTATATTATACTTGGTTTGGTTTTTCTGAATTTCAGACTTATAAATCAAGAATCCAACTGCCTTCTTGTACTCTTCATGTGGATTCTCAAATTTAAAACTTGTGAAGTTTTTTCCTCTCCCCAGCCTGCTTCTCCATCTCTGCTCTAGTCAGTTTCATCTCAATTAATGCCATCAATTCTCTCAGGTAATTAGGTCAAGAACCCAGAAATTATTAATGATTCCTCTTTTTTTTTTTTTTTCACCATCCAATCCAGTTTACTCCTTCCCACCACATCCAGGGTTACTCCCATACCATCACTATATCTTGCTTAGATTGTTTAGTCCATTTGCATCAGAGCAAATGGAGTGACACTATTTACATTCTGAATTTAAAAAAATCTCATGTTGCTACCCCCTAGAGGCCTCCTGTGGCCAAGCACTGCTCTGAATAAAATCCAATGTGACCTCAATTCTAAAAACCCCTACATGATTTCCCAGTCATCATTTCTCAGTGTTCTCCAAGCCCTTCTCATAATGCCACCTCCTTTGATTCACTATTTCTAGTAAGATGCCTTCTTTCTGTGACTCAAACATGCCAACTTTATCCTTGCTTTCTGTCTGCCTGAGTCTTCTTATCTTTGAGGACTCATTAAAACTCCACCTTCTTGGAGGGGTTTTCTGACTATCCTCTGTAAAGTATAACCCTCCTCCACAATCAGTAAGTGTCTTTCCTGTTTCACTTTCCTACAACATTCCTGTCTGACATTCTTACATGTCTTTAGGTTCATGGCCTTCATACTAGAATACAAGCTCTATGAAATCAGGGACTTTGCCTGTCTTTTCATTATTGTATCCTTAATACCAGAAAACAGTGCTTCACAGGAGCTGCTCAACTAGACTTCTTGAATGAACGAATATGTAGATGTTGTCAATTTCTGAGAGTACACTTCTATATTTTTATCAGCTTGTCATAATTACTAACCTTTGAAGTACATATCCCATACAACCCATGCAAGCCAAGTTGGCAATGTAAGACAGGACCCAAACACTTTCACTTGGTAATAATAGAAAATAAGAAAAAGAAGTATGTGACATATATGTGTGCTAGATGTACAGATCTGTCTTTTTCTTTTATTTCCCCCACTATAAAACAGATATTTTAAAAGGTCCTATAAAGAAATACTTCAGCTCTAGTATTAGAACTTGGAAATTAACAAAAGCCAGAGAGGGGCAAAGATATCTTTTCTTGGCTCCAAACTAAGTTATTTCTTTTATTATAATAATACTATGAGTTATTATTATTATTAACAATAATAGCTATTAGTTATTTAAGTCTGAAAGTCAGCTCTAAATTGTTACAGAATACACTTGCAAAGCAGTTCAACTGACTACATATTACAACTTCTGTTTACTTTTCTAGCAATAGAAATAATGTGCTATCCAAAGTTTTTGCTAGTTATGCTTCAAAACTTTACCTGGATAAGCTGGGTGCAGTGGCACGTGCCTGTAATCCTAGTGGCTTGGGAGGCTGAGGCAGGAGGATCACAAGTTAAAGCCAGCCTCAGCAAAAGTGAGGCACTAAGCAACTCAGTGATACTCTGTCTCTAAATAAAATAGAAAAAAGGCCTGGTGATGTGTTTCAGTGGTTAAGTGTTCCTGGGTTTAATCCCTGGTATCCAAAAAAAAAAAAAAAAAAAAAAGAACTTCCCCTGGATAAAAGCATCAAGTACACCTAACTATGCTAGCATTGAGAGTGACCAAAGGTAAAATTATCACCAATTGCTCCTCCTTGGTGAAAAGGAGGAAACAGCTAGTAATTCTATCTTCTAGTACTAGCATAGAAATAATAGTAAAATGAAAAGGGTTCAAATACACAAAGTATGTTATATATTCATTACATGAACCACGTTATAAGTTCATTACAACTTGCATGACTATTAAAAATTGTCTTTATTTTTTTTAAAATCACTATAGGGAAGTATTTACCAAAACCCAGAGATATCAAAAGAAAAAAAATGCGTTCTCATCATCATCTATTTTATAGCAACCTACCATTTGCCCCATCTGATGAAATGTGAACCTTTAATTTATCTCTTTGACACTGGCAGCTATCAAAATTTTTCTTGAGCATCTTCCATACATGAAGTTATCTTTTATATTTTCTTTACTAATTTGGCCAGAATACCATTTGACCCAGATGACTATCCTGTCCTCCTTCAAACATTTGTTTCACCTGGCTTCTAAATGCTACATTCTGTAGTCCTCAGACCTTATTATTATTAGACTTTTTCTTCTTTCTCTTTATTTGTTTATTAATTACTTAATTAATTAATTAAATCCTGGGTAACTGAACTCAGGGACACTTTACCACTGAGCCACATCCTAAGCCCTTTTGAGCCTAGTTTCAAACTTGCGATCTCCCTGCCTCAGCCTCCTGTGTCACTGGGATTATAAGCATGTGCAACAGTGCCCAGCTAGACCTTTTCTTTTCCACATCCACTTTGCTAATCTCAACCAGTTCCATAACCTTCAATAATATGTATCTATGTACAGCTTACTGACATGCAAATTTATATTAATAAGACCTTGTCCATGAATCCTAGATGTATAACCAAATCAACACTTAAATTTGAATTTTGAATAGGTATCTCAAATACAGTATGTACCAAAGCCAAATTCCTAATCTTTCCCCTTAAACTTGCTCTTCTGTTAAAGAAATTCCACTTTTTAAGCTGCTCACTTCTGACCTATCAGTAACTCCAGTGATCTATGCATTCAAAATAAAACCAACCATTTCTGATTAGTACAAGAAATCTAGTTCAACCTCTATCATCTCTTACATGGATCACTGTCATTCCTATGATGGCTTCCCATCGAGTTCAGAATAAAAATCAATGGTCTTCAAAGCATTACTAATGGTCCCCTGTTTCATTCCTTACTATTCTCTCTCTCTTGCTCCCAACATATGGACCTTATTGTTCTGCAGCCTCAGGTACTCTGCACCTGCTGTTCTTTCCATCCGATGCTTTTCCCAGATATTGCTTTTTTTTTTTTTTTTAACATGTTTTACTCCTTTCCATAAATGTCACCTAAGTTGGGACTATCATTCTATTCCAAAATGAACCTCCCTCCTACAGCCTTTAACTCCCTTGCCCTTTTCTGCTTTATATTTTCTAATTTGTTTTGTATATTTTTTGGTCTCTCTCACAAGAAAGCTTATTTCATGAAGGCAGGGATTTTTACTGTTTTGTTATAATATTACTCCTTCACAAATATTTATGGAATAATTAGTCTTTTTTGTCTTTGTAATTTGTATAATGTTGCTCAAGGATCTTAAGATATCTATCTCCTTATAGAGAAACAAAGAAAAGGAAAGTAAGATTTACTGAGCACCTATTATGTGCTAGGTAATCTGTTGGTTACATATTATTTAATTCTCACCATCAATCATTTGATATGTGAATTCTCTCCATGTAACAAATAAGAAAATTAAAATGATAAAAATATGCTTGTTTGGGGGGAGTACTTATTGGGGATTGAACCCGGGGATCCCGGGGATGCTCTATCACTTAGCTATATCCCCAGCTCTCGGTTCTCCCTAACCTGCCCAGGCTGGCCTCAAACTTTTAGTTCCCCTGCCTCATTCTCTCAAGTAACTGAGATTACAAACCCCACAATCTATAGAATATTCCTAATTTTCTAATCCTCTGAAACCAGAGAAACCTTCTGAATTTCTTCTGTCATTAGAACATAACAGGAATGAGATCTAAAAATCACAAGCTTTGTCTAGAGGTTGCTTGGCAATCAGATTCTATTAGTATTTCTCAGTATAGGAAATACAATTACCACTTTTCCAAAGTTCTTCCACTTTATAGCTATGGTTGTGGTGTGCTAGCATCTGTAAATTTTAAGATAGACTAATTACAGGGGCAATAAATCAGTTAATTACTCATTAGCAGATAAAAAGCTAACAAAAACAGTTATAAAAATAAAAACAACGGAATTTTAAGCAATAAAATTCTCTCTCACACACATACACACAAACATATGCAAGCTACCTGAAGAATGAATGGCTTTGCTCCTTTTCTGCATTACTTCCATCAATGCACCCACAATTCCTGAAGTGGGTGCAGGTGTTGGTGGTGCAGACTCTTGGCCATCAGACACCTTGGAATACAAAATTAGAAAGATTCAACTGTAAATCCTTAGCAAAGAATCTGTCTTCAGAATGTCTTACTTTCTTAGTATCACCTCTTTATCTTGAAAAATTAAAAAGCAAGCTATCAAAATTTCAAACCCAGTCAGGATTAGCTAAATTAAGAAGAAAAAACTGAATATTTTCCCCAAAAGTGAACAATAATTTCTGCACATTCCAGCACACAAGAATCTTATATGATAAAACTTCAAAACTATTATTAAAGGACATTATTTTATAAACCTGGACAGTATTTAGAAGTTCTGAAACTGTACCTGTCTCACATGGCAAATAACTAACTATCCCTGGTAGAAATTACTTCCATTTCCCCCAAACTATATTCAGGAAATAAAATGATAAAAAAGAAAAAACTAAAGATTTTGATTAAAAATTCATTTATTCAGAAACCAGTCCCTGCAAAATTATCCCTATTTCCACATTCATATTTAAAAAAGAGGAAAAAAATGTAATGGAAAAAATTTACAATTTAGAAAGTACTTCTCTAAGTACTAAAATGAGACAAATATATTTTTACATATTAATTTTATTAATTCTGTCTCTGAACTTCCATTACCCATTGTTATAATATTGGTAAAAAGATTAAATAGGGCTGGGGATACAGCTCAGTTGATAAGAGTGCTTACTCACATGCACAAGGCCTTGGGTTCAATCCCCAGTACCACAAAACAACAACAACAAAAAGATGAAATAGCATAGCTACGCTAAATAATCACACAAGTTTTTAAACATTTTTATTTATTTGAAATTTTAAATCCTTTTCCAAGGAATAAAATTTTCCAAAGAAAAATATCTTCCATAGAAAATTGTCTTAATAACTTTATTAAGACAAATTTTTCATTTGGTTTTTTGGTAACTCTTCTACTAACTACTTTTCTTTCTGGGCTAAATATCACTGTGTTCTCTAAAAAAAAATTCCATGTAGCTCTCCATAAGATACAGATTCATTCATAAGTACTTAAGTTTAGCTGTTGTATGTAATACTATTACTAGTATAGCAGTCCACAAACAGAAAATCTCAGGTTTTAGAGTTTGGTATTTCTGCATGAGGCTCTTAACAGCAGCCAGGACCACTCTTCAATGATCAGGTAATATAAAGCAGAGAACACTAAATAGGAGTGCAACACTGCCATTAGAGTCTAAAAATAAAGCTTTATTCCACACCAAGTCCATTCTTTTATTTATGTACTATATATAGCAGCTTTTATGGTACAGCAGCAGATTTGGGTGCTTATAACAAAAGACCGGGGCTGGCGATGTGGCTCAAGCGCTAGCACGCCCGCCTGGCATGCATGCGGCCCGGGTTCGATCCTCAGCACCACATACAAACAAAGATGTTGTGTCCACCGAAGACTAAAAAATAAATATTAAAATTCTCTCTCTCTCTCTCTCTCTCTCTCTCTTAAAAAAAAAAATAACAAAAGACCATATGGCCTTATAAGTCTAAATACTTATAATCTGGTCTGTTATCAAAAAAGTTTGTCAATCTCTAAAAGATTAAATGATCTAAAGGATTAAATGATGATCATCTTGTCCAAAAGTTATCAGCCTTCAGTGTCAGAAATTCTATTAGAACTCTTTCAATTTTCTTTTTTTTTGGTGGCACCTGATTCTTTACTAGTCTAAAACATGGAATCATTTGAATATGATTTAGTTTTCATAAAGTTACTAGTTTGGATTTACCAAGGTGATTGCAATTGGTAATTGCAATTGGTATTTTAAATTCCCCTTACTTTAATAATGATTCTTTTAAAATATCTTTTATTTAAAAATAAAATATAGAACAATGAACTATAAACATACTATAAGATTCCATTTATATTAAATTTTAGAATAGGCAATAAGCAGGGTGTGGTGGCACACTCCTGAGGCAGGAGGATCCCGAGTTCAAAGCCAGCCTCAGCAAAAGCAAGACTCTGTTTCTAAATAAAATACAAAATAGAGCTGGGGATGTGGCTCAGTGAAAGTGCCCCTGAGTTCAATCCCCAGTACCCCCCCCAAAAAAAAAAAAATGAATAGGCAATCACATCAGAGAATGTTTTGGGAGCAACTAACTGGTAAGAGGAATAAGGTAACTTTCTGGGATACAGAATGTTCTACATTTTATGTAGAAGTATGGGTTATAGAGCTATAGGAACTTATTATCTAAACTAAAAATTTGTGCATTTCATTGTATCTAAAAATATTTAAAAATCTATAGGGTAAAAATTATAAATTATATTCTACAATATGTATACTCAGAAAAATGAGAAATTATATACCATCTATGTATATCAAAGTATATAAGTGCATTCTACTGTCATGTATAACTAATTAAAATAAATAAAAAATTATAAATTATAGCAAGAGAAAAAAGATTAATAAACTTTTCAAAGATATCTTATACATTACTTTAAAATTCCATTGTGATCAATGATCTAAAATGAAAGAGCATATTACTTACAGATTTCAGTTGAATACCCTGTCGTATCTGGTCTAAAAGCGCATCCCTTCCAGAGCAGGACACTGGTCGACTGTTCTGTTCCACTTTTTTTAGCTGAGCACCCTCTCTGATTTGATCTAAAAGGGCTGCTTTGTTTCCTGCAGGAGTTGGAACTTGATGGTCCCCATCAGAAGGGAGGCCAGGGGGAGGCGGTGGCCCTGGTGGAGGCGGAGGTGGAGGTGGTGGGGGTGCTGTCACTGATCCTACCACTGATAGAGGTGGAGGTGGTGGTGGAGGCCCAGAAGGCGCTGAAGAGGGAAGGGCTGGAGGTGGAGGAGGATACACCCTATTTGGTGGTGGTGGAGGGACGACCACACCTGGCCTGGAAGGAGGTGGTGGTGGAGGTGCAGCTGTGGGAGCTCTTGAAGGTGGTGGGGGAGGAGCACCTCTTCCCCTGGCAGGAGGAGGAGGAGGGCCTGAGCTATGTGGAGGGGGAGGAGGTGGTGGTGGTCCTCCCCGTGATGGTGGTGGAGGTGGTGGTGCTGAAATAAAAAAAAAAAAAAAAAAATCAAGATCATTTTCCTGTTGTTTCTTGAAAAATATGAGCGAAAACACCAGAATTTAGTTTTTAGAAATCAGTACCAGTTTCGAAGGTTAAGAATAAACATTTTTCTACTTTATAATAACAGAAATAACAATGAAATAAAAGTTTGCTTAATAAGCACTTTTATATTTTAATTAAAATTAACAAATAACTGTTCCCTTTTTAAAGAATCAATTACATTTATGTTTTTTAAAAATTAGTTCAGATTCAAATTTTATAGTTTATCATAGTCAATTAGAATTTATTAATACTAATTTGAGCTAAGATACAAATACAATGCTTTTCCTTTAAAATGTAATCCTTTGTTGTCTAATTTATATGGATTTATATTTTATGGTATAATGTCCTATTATTTCCAAAATAAATTCTAGCAATTCTAGCAATGGAAAGAAGGGAGACTGGTTGCTCAGTCAAAATATTCGATTACATAATTAGGAAACAAAAAGTGATAAACAAATTAAATGAGAAATCCTATAAATTGTAAAAGTAAAGTCATTAATAAAAAGTTATCACTATTTTGATAGTTACACTCTTCTACTTAAGTGACAATGTTAAGATATTAAGAAAACAAATTTGAAAGTACAGTGATATCAGACTATACTGGAGAATATGAATAAAACCTAAGTGTTAGATTTTATTTTACTACATTTCTGGAGACATGATGTTGCCATGAACATACACCAATAAATATAATAATGTACTTCATCATTTTCCCATTAATTTAAAGACTGGTTTGAAAAATTATTTTTAGGAGTATAGAAATGTTAGAATTCATAATAGGCATTTGTATTTACTAATACAAAGTATAATGTGGTATTAAGGAAACTTCCTATCCAACCAAATTCAGTTATAAATACCTATCTTAATTATAAGCTTAGATGCTCAGTAATACAATGATAACAGAAAGGGAAAAAACCCTCACTTTACAGAGAATAGACAGTATCTTCTGATTTCATTTGGGACAATCATGGGGAGATGCTTTAGAAATCTGAAATCAAATATAATCATAAACATTGAATGACATGTATGCAAAGGACCAAACTCACATGGGTATTGTCTCTTGGCATAAAAACCTTCAAATATACATAACGGGGAACAGGAGAGTTAACCTAAATTCAGACAATCACAGTGGGACACCCCTACGATTTACACTTAAGGTGTACTAGAGGTCTAGAAGATACAGCTAAGATTCACTCAACATTCCATCTAACTGGACCAAAAGCAAGGAGACTTAAATGCTTGCTAGAAGCAGAGTAGTTTTCTAACATTTTCAATCAAATGGCAAAAAGGGGAGGAAATGCTATATATGAATGAATGAAATGGCTATTCCCTGAATAAGAGTGTATCAAATCCCTTCAAGAAGATACAAAATTTCATTTAATCAGGTTTACATTTCAAATAGCAACAATATTTAGAACTAGTATAATTTACTCCTCCCTTACTTAAGAGGAAAAGGACTGGACTATTTTATTATGAAAGGCATTAAATAATTATTTTTCATGATTTTACCAAGAACCATGAATTAAATTTCTTTTGAACCTGTCTGTATGGGGTACATTTATTGGGATAATTTGGGATTAGGCTAATACAAACTCAGACAGACACTAATTCAACACTCAGAAAGGAGAGTCTTGATTTATGAGTCAATCATCAGCTGTATCCCATCTGCATGTAGAAAAAGTTCAGCGTTTCTATTACCTTGCAAACTAAAAGCAAACTTTTAGTCTGCCTTATGTCTACACAAAATGGAAACTGCAAAAAATGCCATGTCCAAAGGTAAAAACTATGAAAGAAATAAAATAGGAGAAGAAAAGAACTTATGGTATGCAGTTAGCCAGATCTGCACACACACATGCCTCTATACATCACTATGAGAAACACACCACTATGAGAAAACTCTGGTCAAGATTTTCAACTCTAAGTCACCACAAATACCAGAATTAAAATAACAATGGTATTTTTGAATTTTTTAAAAAGAAATAAGTGCAAAGAATCAAATAAAAGTAATAAAAAATGAAAATGGTTCCATTCAAAGCTAAAGGAAGACAAGATTGAGCTTACCAACAGAACAGAACAAAACAAAACAACTTTGTCTTGGTGGGAACCTAATACTAAAAAAATAAGTAAACATTATTTCAGGTCAACATTAAAGTACTGGTAGATAATGCTCTAGCCAATACTTGAGACACACCAGTCTGGCTGGTGACAACTACAGCTGCTGCAGGAAGGCGGAGTGCAGGTAGAGACAAAGGACAGCACAGCAGAGCAAAACAAAATAAAAAAAAATACCTGGCTTTCGGGGAGTGAGGGTGGGGGACCTGTGGGAAAGAGGGAGGCTGATCTCAATGGACCCAGTCTTTGGGGAAAGTTGTTGAGTAAAAAGTAACCAAAATCTCTTGGCCCACAGGTGGATAATTTGGGGGAAACCCGGGTCACCTGCATGGGAACCAGTGCTGCTGCGCATGCAGAGGCATGAAATTGCAAACTCATAAAGGAAGGTTCCAACTGCCTGTTAGAACTGAGCCCCAGTGAGCCTGGACCAGTGTAACTGAAATAGGGACAAAGAAAATTGTGCCTAGGGCATACAGGCTCTGGATACCAAGGACAGAGAGTTCCCTTTGTTGCTGGCGCCCCAGATGTCCACCAGAGATCGGCATCTCCCCATCAACAGGGGTGTGGATCTAATCTCAGACAAAAGTTCCAAAGGTCAGTGGATACCAAATCCCAGTTACTCAAACTTCCAATTTAGAATTCTGCACGGCCTCCATGACAAGAATATACAATCTGTCAGCATTCCACAGTCTATCCCACCCTATACTGGGAGATGGGCAAGCTGAGAGCTACTAGGACCAGCTTCTGCTTCTAGCCACAAAGGCTGGCAGTTAGGTGAAGAACACAAAATTGCTGAACCTAACAAACCCTTTGACCCAAAGATTACAGAGCCCCAAAATAAATACAAAAAATCAATTCCTGCTAATAAAAATTTGACCACTTTGGTGGAAATAAGTCCTTTATTTCTCATTAAGAGTATTTAACCTTTTTCTCTCATTTATTCCAGTATTCCACTTTTTAATTTTTAACTTATTTGCCAACAGGTTTCAAAAAAATACATATGTATTCATATAATTTTGCTCTCGTTTTAGTTGTTTTCATTTTCACCAGTTTATTAGTTAGCTTTAGTTTGACTTATATGGGGATAACAAACTATATGTGGGTTTGAATTGCTTTCGATCTTAACATTTGTTTGTTAGTTATATTGGTTTTGCCCTCTTGTTGCCTCTTCTTCACTCTTTTCTCCCACTAATAGTCAAAATTCCCATTCCTCTTTCCTCTTTTTTATTACTTTTAGTTTTTTTTTAACTCCTTATTCTTTATAGCCATCATCTTCTACCTATCTCCTGCCTCTCCTTGGTTCATTTCAAACTTTTTCGTCATCCTACTTTATATTCCCTTACGAAACCGTAACCCCATTAAGAGAATTTTAAAAAATTAAATAATTTATGTAATTCTTACCCCATTATTATTGCTATGGTTATTAATACAGTGGATGATATAGTAAATCTGTTGTTCAATACTTGATCGAGTAAATGTTTTTTTGTTGTTGTTGGTAGTGATGTTAAATGCTGACCTCATAATTCCTATATAGGTGGCAGTGTTATAGATGCCAAAATAGACATTGGACATTTTTCTTAAGGCTGTACATTTGTTGCTAACATTTATTGCTATTCCTGGCTCCCTGCTTTCCCTAAAAGAGCCTGGAAAGTGAGTGGGACATTAAGGTTATAGAGATCCTGCTGCTCAGCAATACTCACAACTTAGCCAAGTAACAGCAAATCTTACCCCACACATGATCTAGCCCTACTTGAGCCTCAACAATACTTCAACACATAGAACATGGGAAACAAAACCCCCAAACCAACAAGCAGGCCGCAACAAACAGAGAGGGACCTTAGATCCTACTCCTGAATATTTACTTATACATCAAAATAAGAGAGAAGTCCCATAACAAAACAATTAACTATACACAAAAGGACATGTGTATAAAAGAGGAATGGGGAATACATCTCAATTGATGCACAAGTCCCAGACCTCTGAAAACATGAGGAAACAGGCAAACAAATCGCTCCCCAAAATTTACCATCCCCCAACAAACAATCCTACAGATATGAAGTAGATGATATTCCTGTGAAAGAGTATAAAAAACTTATTATTAAATGTTCAAAAAATCAAAGATCTAAGTAATAAATTAAGAAAGCAAACATATGAGATATAAGACCATTTCAATAAAGAGATAATGAAAAGAAATCAATCAGAACTCCTGAGATAAAAGACACAATGAATCAAATAAGCAATTCACTTGAAGGCATCACAAACAGATTAGATTGCACAGAAAACAGAACTTCAGGCCTTGAGACAGGGTATATGAACTTGAACACTCAGTGTGCAATAAAGGAAAAAGAATAAAAGATCATGATCATAATATACAAGAACTCTGGAACTGCATCAAGAGAACAAATCTGAGAGTCACTGAAATAGAAGAGCACATGAAAATACAGGATAATGGCATTAAGAACATTTTCAATCAGACAGTAATAGAAAAATTTCCCCATATTAGAAATGAGACATCCAACTACAATAGGCATATAGGACCCATCATAACCAAATTATCTAAGAAAGAAAATAAGGAAAGACTATTAAAAGCTGCAAGAGAAAATTGTAAGGTCACATTTACAGGCAAACCAATAAGGCTTACCTCTGTCTCTTCAACTCAGATCCTAATGTCAAGAAGGTCTGGAATGAGATATTCCAAGCTCTAAAAGAAAACAATGCTACTCAAGATTGCTATATTCGGCAAAGCTATCTTTCAAAATCAATGAAAGAATGAAAACTTTCCATGAGGAAGAGAAACTAAAAGAATTTATGACTATTGGGCAATCA